CCTAGACCCTTTTTCTGATGAAGGGTCTAGGCCCGAAACGTCAGCCTTTCTGCTCCTACGATGCTGCTTGGCCTGCTGTGTTCATCCAGCTCTGCACCTTGTTGTCTCGGATTCTCCAGCATCTGCAGTTCCTACTGTCTCTAATACACATTGTAAATAGCCAATGCCCCAGCTTTGACCCTTAACAGCCTGCCAATGTTCGCATCTCACCTACCACTACTTTATTTCTTGTCAGGGAATCAACTGAGATAAATATCACCCCAAATTCTAAACTTTTTTGTATAGCACCTCATTGAATTTTTTTTGGAAATCCAAGCCAACTACAGCCAATGGCTCCCCTTTATCTACCCTACCAGGTACACCCTCAGAATATTCGTTACCAGATGTTTTAAAAATAAAACATGTTGAAATTGCCTGACCATACAATGATTTTCTAAATGCATTGAAATTTCCTTAATAATAGATTGCAGAATTTTCCTAATGCCTTTGTCTGCAGTCCCTTGCTTTCTCCAGCCTTCATTTTCTATATAACAATGTTACGTTCACTACTATCCAATACATTGCGACCACTGTAAATTCCAGATAATTTTGGATTTTGAATATGTCCCACATATTCACATAAGTTTTAGAACTCAAAGACATGGGTCATCAGGTTTTGGATTTTTTTTTAAAATTCAATATTAATATATACTATATTTACACTCAATGGAGAGTACTCCAGTAGTGTTTCTGCATCATACCATATTATACTTTCAAAAAAAGCTGCGCTGCTCATGATCAATATTTAAAAATTATTACAGGCATTTTAATAACTGCAAGTGTTTGTCATGTAGAAGTGAACAACATTACCTGCCAATCTTTATATAACACTATCACTAAAGAATTAATGAAGTGTGACAATCAGTCTAAGCTTATCTTTATGACAGCCTAAGACTGAGTACAATATTACCATACCTTCCACAATGAACACTTGAACACATTAGACAGACCCATGGACTTTTGTTGGAGCGACAAACTGCAAAACAAAATAAAGGTAATTATTTTATTTTCAGAAATAAATATCTTCAGTGGTTTTACTTCTTTCTGCATATGAAAAAAGTCCTTGTCTATTGCATGGCAATAGCAGAGCTATAATAATTCAAAGTTCCCTTTCCCTGTCAACTGCTGTAAATGTGTTGTTCAAGCTGTGGTATAAAAATTTAGAAGCTGCAGTATAGAATTCAGACAACCACAGCAGTTCATGTTGTCATGAAAGTCACTTTTAAGGAAACATTTTACAAAGACATCAAATTACTGAACTTCAGTGTTGTGAACCAAACTAAACCCCCTCAAAATATATTAAGATGTCCCAGACCCTAACTTTTCTTATTTTAAATATATGTAAGGTCCTGTATCCTAAATGCAATTAGATTTGTCAAACTACTCAATTTTAAGAAAAACATACTTTGTTTTTACACTGCAGTTATAACAGAAAATAAAAATAAAAGAATTGGCATAACTGTAACTCTATTGAAATGCTTAATAAAGTAATAGATAAATTAACTAATTAACTGTTCCAATAAAGTAACATCCCATAAACACGCTCTTGGCAAAGGTAAATTCAGCGAAATAGATTGTCTCACATGTAATTCTAGCAGCAAGAGAACCCCAGCTTTTAGCTGTAACCAGGAGGGGAATAAGAGCTTCAACACCCAGCTTCAAGACGTCTGCAAGTGCAGAAAGCTATAGCTAAAAATCCTTAATTAAAAACCGAAAGAACTACGGATGCTGTTGGGAGAAATCACAGTCAACATTTTGAATCGGGTGACTCTTCCTCAAAACTCTGATGCTGCCAGACTGGCTGAGCTTTTCCAGCAATTTATGCCTTTGCTTCTGATTTACAGCATACGCAGTTATTTCGGTTTTTATTTAGTATTTAACTCACTGCCACTTCTCTTCTCAGTCTGCCCACCTCGAAGAAGTTCTGAGCCTGTCTCCAATGGGGGTTTCTGTTCCGATCTTTTGTCTTGTTCACCATCATTAATTTCGCTGTCACTCCTGGTGTTTGACAAGATATTTGCTAAAACTTGTTTCTACAGCCACATCACATTCCTTAGTGCCTGCCTCCGACTTAGACTCCCCCTACATGGATTCCAACTCAAGTTTCATCCTTCGTGCTTTGAATTCACGCAGGATCATAGGTATCTTTGCAACGTTCAAAATTTCACAGACAGATGCTCTCGCTCCATCCTGAGATCCACACTCAATATCACGCTTCATCATATGCACACTAAAAATCCTGGTTCTGTGGGAGCTTGATCCCATCCATTCAGGCTGTTTCTATTGTTCCAACTTTAGAAAAGAACCCAAAGCTGTTTACACTATTGACTTTAAGCAGGCCACTTGCTACCTCTGTCTTAACCTTTCTTCATTAAAAAAGACCAGGACAAAATACACCTCTTAAGCCATTGTATCAAATCTTCCCCTTAAAAAAAGTTAATCAACATACAAAGATGGCTTCATTTTTAAAAACCTTTAGCCTTACGCTATTAGTCCAGTACAATACATATATATTACTGACATCTAAGCATGCAAACATTCACTATTACAGTCCATTTTAGCCCATTTTCTTCCTGCCACCAAATGCCTCCATCTTCCTTCAAGTCAAGACAACGCTTCGGCAATTACATTTTTTCGTTCTGCCGCATGTGTCTTTTACAAACTGAATGGCTGCAATAAGCTCAATCTAAACAGTCTGGTGTTTTATCCTTTAAATTTTTTACCAAAACTTAAGGGGTTATGATCAATACATACAATTATCGACATTACTAGAAATATAAATGTTGAAATGTTGCAAAGTTGCATTGCGAACAAACTCAAAAGTCTCCTTCTCAATTGTGGAATATTTCTGTTGATGATTATTCAATTTTGTGTAAAAATACCCAATAGGTCTATCTTCTCATCATCTTCTTGCAAGAGTACAGCACTAACACCCACATCACTCGCATCAATAACCACTCTGAATAACATTGTACAATTAGGTGTGGCTAACACTGGGGCAGCGTCTCACATAATTTTTAGGCTGTCAAATGCCTTCAGACTTTTACAAAGGATGTTGATCCTTCCCATAACTAAAACCGAGACACCCAGAGGGGAGCACCTCTCCTTATAAACTGTTAAAAGAAGTGTGAAAGTGGTATAACCTGCCTCTCAACCCCCATCTGTTATAAAGAGAAAGTTAACTGAAATGAACTCCTAATAGTCACTCTATAATCAACAAGTAACAAATTTATCTAACTAACAAACAGTGAACAAATTAATAAAACTACTAACATACCGAACAATTCCCCCTTAACCACTAACTATTCCCGAGTAAAACAAAACTCTAATGGAATGTTGTTCCAGTAAATACAAGTCCCACCAATATACCAAATTTTAAAAAAAAATTAAAAACTTAATCTCCAAAACTGCAGCTAGGATACATCTTCCAGAATGCACTGCATCCTTTCCGCTGATCCTCAGTCAGGATCGCCTTTCTCAACCAACTTCCTGTGTCAGGAATATTAGCTAAGAGTGATGCTATACTTTTAGTTAGATGATGGTTACTCTGAGCGCTTAGTGAATTCAGAGCGGGCCAGTGATTTTCTCTTTAGAGCTTACGGGTTGTTAACTCTATTAGATGAAAGTTGCTCTTAGTGACTGAAAGAGCTATTATTACACAAGGCACACCAAATTCAACACCCGAAAAGAAAACACCAATACTCATACTCACTGCCTTCGAGTGCTAAAACCAACCTGGAATTAGAGATTTTGATCCCAACAAGAGCCCCAGTTTGTTATGGGCTAGAACAAACCCTTCAAAATATTTTAAGATAGCCTGAACCCTAAACATTTTCTTATTTTAAAGGCAAGTGAAATGTTTAACAAAATAACAGATACATTAACTACTCCATTATGTTAATATCCCAGAAACACACCCAGGCCAAAGGCAAATTCAGTAAAATATAATCCCATGTGCAATTCTAACAGCAGGAAGAGAACCCCTGTAAGAAGAGAGAGGAAGAAGAGCTTCCACATCCAGCTTCAAGACAGCAGCAACTGCAGGAAGTTAAAATAAGAAATCCCTGTCCTGTAGGACATTCAGGCTACTTCTATTATTCCAATTTTTAAAAAAACCCAAGGCCTCACAAGCTGTTTAACTCTATTGACTTTCAGCAGACCATTCAAACTTGTCGCAACCTTTCTTCAAAAAAAAAAAGGACAAAATACAACTCTTAAAGCCATAATATCGTCACAACAGCAACACACAGACTTCAAATGTGATACAGCACTTAGTAGTTATTTAAAAGATCTTCAGGATGGCAGCAAGTCATTTCTGGTAATATTAAAGAGTCAGCTTGCTGGTCAAACACACTTGAACATTCTTGTTAAATTCTTTGTTGAACTGAATATTATATAACTAATTTAATATAACACTTTTAATGTGAAAAACATTCCATGTGATCCAGAACTATGATCAAAACAAAACTATTTTAATTTATTACACTGTGGTAATAATAAGTGAAAGATGGTTTCAATATATAAATGACAACCAGGATAACTACACTCAATCACATTTCCAAGCATTTAAGGTAACAAAATGCACATTGTTTTGTTGATGTACTTTTGAATTTAAAATTGACATGAGATGTCCTTGGTGGTCTTGCATGTTTGTGCTGAGCTTCTCGACTCCTTGATTATGCTGCTACATTTGCATTTGATGGCAACCAAAACCAACGTGCAGTAATATTAAGTGACAATGGAATTGTACTACATATACATAAAAATTCCAGCATTCTTGTGCAAAGTTAGTTCTGTTATACCTAAATATTTATAATGAAATGAAAATTTCTCAAAAAACTTCTTACTTTTGATTCAAAGGGCTGTTTCTTTTCAAAATAGTTTGTTTTGAACCTAGCAAGTGTTTAATTAACTGCTCCTATGATGCTGCTTGGCCTGCTGTGTTCATCCAGCCCTGCACCTTGTTGTCTTTAATTAACCCAACCTTGTTGCAAAGCTTCTTCTGCTTTTAAGAGAGTAGATGAAAGAACAAGATTTAAGAACATTAGGTTGGGTTGAAAATGCACAGTTCCAAAAATAATTTAAATTATACTCCAAAAATCAGATTTGGGAGGATTATTTCTGAATCCTGCAAACCACTGATATATGGCAAACGCAGAATGCTGGACAAACTCAACAGGTCTGGCAGCATCTGTGGGGAGCGAAACAGATTTAACATTTTGAGCCCAGTATGACTCTTCTTCAGAATTGAAACCATATGGCAAGATCTACTCTTGAGTAGATGCTGAGTACTCACTAACATTTTACCTTGGATGGATCACAGTCAACATAAATCCAGTTATCAACCAAGAATCGTATTTTCCACTGGAAAACAGAAACGGCACACACACCCCTCCATCCCTACATCCCAATAAAGCGTTAAAGAAACTTAGGGAGTGCTCCACATTCATTGTGCACTGACATGGCACTGTAACAAGATATGCACAAATACATGTAATTTTATCATTCCACCTTCTAACTCATCCCCACACATTCCCCTTGCTCGATATCTATAACAACTAAGTTTTGAAGAATGAAGGAGGATCTCAGAAACCTAAGATTCAAATACGAATTGATAGGGTAAAGAAGTTCTCAATGACTGGGAGTATAGAACCAGAGGTCACAGACTAAGGATACGGGATAGGCCATTTTATAACTGAGATGAGAAGAGAGTTCTTCACCCAGAGTGTGATGAACGTGCAGAATTGCCTGCCACAGAAAGGAGTTGAGGCCAAAACAATGTTTTCAAGAAGGAGTTAGATATAGCTCTTAAGGCTAAAGGCAAAGGGTATGGGAACAAAGCTGGAACAAGATACCGAAGAGGTTCAGCCGTGATATTGAATGGCGGAGCAAGCTCAAAAGAGCCTACCCCACTTCTATTTTCTATGTTTAACCTTTTCCAGTTCTGATAAAAGGTCACTGACTTGAATCATCTCT